ACATCAGTGATGGCCGACTGGATGAGAGGTGTGTACCTGGTGTGGACAGCTGGGATACATCTGGCACAACGATGAGGGAGCCAATGAAGTCACATTTATCACCGGCCTGTGCCGACTCCACAGCCTCGGCCCGCAGAATCACCTCCAAACTACGAGGAATGGAGCCCCGTGGCAGCTCAGCCTGTGTCTCCTGGATACGCACCTGGAATCAAGGCAAGTAAAACGTCAAAATACACTAACAACACTTTAAAACACAGTACAGCAGTCGACAATGGCATGGGGCTAGTATGATGAAATGTCAACCACTCAGTCATCCTGACAGAGTGCAACAGAATAGGAAAGATTAATTAAAATGTAACATTCAAGCATGGGATATTGTTTTCTGAGTTGAAGTTGAAATAATGGCTTAGTGCAATTATCCAATCGCAGACACTGTGATTTAATTAAATAAACATGTGCTGTATGTTTCAGAGAGACATTAGATTTTTTTTTTTACAGTGAAATATTACAATAGTAATATTTTTTGTTTTTATATTTTCATTTAATAATAATAATAACAACAACTATTGTTATTTTAAAGCATATTTGTATGTAATCATAATATTTTTGGCATAACTATGCAGCCATAAAAACCAGCACAGCAAACCTTGTGCTTTTTTTTCATTTTAAATAAAAATGGCAATTTTTTTAATTAGAAATATCACAATTAGCTTTTAAAATAGCCCTATGCCACTAGAAACTGACATAAGAAGCATCTGTTGAAACAACCTTTTATTTTCATTACTGATTTAATTATTTTATTTCCTGGACTTCTCCATTTGCTTCAAATATGAATGAAATTTTTTAAAGTTTAAATTTAAGATTTAATTTTTGTTTTTATATTTTCATTTAATAATAATAATAACAACTATTGTTATTTTAAAGCATATTTGTATGTAATCATAATATTTTTGGCATAACTATGCAGCCATAAAAACCAGCACAGCAAACCTTGTGCTTTTTTTTCATTTTAAATAAAAATGGCAATTTTTTTAATTAGAAATATCACAATTAGCTTTTAAAATAGCCCTATGCCACTAGAAACTGACATAAGAAGCATCTGTTGAAACAACCTTTTATTTTCATTACTGATTTAATTATTTTATTTCCTGGACTTCTCCATTTGCTTCAAATATGAATGAAATTTTTTAAAGTTTAAATTTAAGATTTAATTTATAAAAATGTTATTGCAAATTATCATGTAAAAAATAGGTTTTGACACGTCACTTGTGTGTAGCAGGAAACATTTAGCAGAAAAATTACAAATTTCTCATTTTTTTCCTCAAGGTCTAACCAACAGAAAAATGTCCTTACCAATGAAACATCATCAACTACAAAGAAGCTGTTTTGAACTTTACCTATTCATGCTTTGCACTGTAACTTTTCCATAATTTCAAGAGAGGAAAGGGGACCAAAACATATAAAAGTCTATGGCTTCCTGTCATACCTTCTGGAAGTCAATGAATTTGGATTTGTTTGTATCCAGGAGAAATCGTCTACGGTTGTTGCACACAGGGTTGCGGCATATGCTTGGCTGAGTGTATTTAAACTGCTGCTCCACATCCTTTATCACTCCCTGACAGTCCAAGCACAGGAAGGTCCCGCTCACCAGCTCAGGGTGAACCGGGTGAGTACGGACAACCTGGCCACTGATGCGCACAAGTGAGCCAACCTTCACCACGGTCAACTCACGGATCCTGCAGGAGCCCAGAACAGGAGCACATTAGTTAAGGAGGCATTTGTTCAAAATAACAAGAATATCATTTTGTCAGATATACAGTATTTTAGTTTTAAATTATTAATTAGTCACACTGTCTTCAAAATTCTCTTTACTTGTGTCTAGTTGGTAGATCCTGGAAGGCAACATAGAATTCCTTTGAGGTTGGAACTTCTCCATGATCCCGAGCAAAATTTCGCACAGCACGGCACAGGAAGGGGTAAAGTCTAAAACAAAACATAAAAAAAGTTTGACTTTGTACATGCAGATAAAAACAATGTGTTATCAATTAAATAAAGCAGCTTTTTAGTTGTCAAAGCCTCTGCCAAATGCAAGTCAATTTGCACTACATACTCATATTCCACACACTACTTTACACAATAACTACACATCTGACATTATGCATTATGTGCTACATGATAATGTTTCAGGGTTTTAAGCATTAATAATTAAACGACTGTGTACTTATATTTCAACGGTAAGATGAATATAGCAACGTATATGGTGACTAAATTCAAAAGCAATGTATGAAAACAATTTAGATTTTTCTTTTGGCTCCTTTCACACCTGTAGAACTCTTCCTGGATGGCGGTTGCCAGTTCTTGATTAAAGCCCTCCAGGTCGGTAAAACTGACCACTAGTGTGTTCCTTTCCGGCCGGATCAACTCCTCTGCGTCCCGCAGGTACTTCACTTCTCCATCGCTATTCTGAAACCTGCGGAGCGGTACACAAATGTATGTATATATATGTACACAAATTTATACAAATGTATAATGTACAAATGTATACAAATCACACGAAAAATATATTTATTATACATTATAGCAAAGATAATGCATGCTCGCGTGCACGGGTGTAATGTTCATGCGAACATATGAATTCTACAATTCCATATAAATATATTTATAGTTTAACATGAAATCATACGACTAATGTTAGTGTACAAGCGTGTAATGTTTCATAGGAAATATTGTAATTATTCTATACGGTTAACGTTACCCATCGTGTAACTTTCATGATACTGAGGAACAATAAGAAGCACCGCATTTACTCACTCTTCCAAAAAAGCCTGGAATAATTTTTGGCATTTTCCCGCCAGTTCGTCCTTGATCATCTGCCCAGCATTCGGATTTGTTCCTTGTTCCATAAGATCCATTTTTGTAATAAATTGTTATTACGAAGTTATAACAATAACGTACGCTATGTCCCGTCAACCACAAGAAGCACACGAGTTGTTTCAGAAGTTTTCGCGCGAAATGCTGTACCATGTGATTATTTTCGCGCCACCAGGATCCAATCAGATTCTTGCTTTTCGGTGCTGCCACAGTGGCCAATCATTCTCGAGCTTTCTGTCTGCGGGGGGGAGGCGGCGGGGGTTATGGCATCATGTTGAGGTCAGACAGCTTCTATAAAGATGTAAACATGATATGATATAAATATGAAATTATAAAATAGTACAGTATCAGACCTATCAGACCCATATTTATTTATATATTGTAGTAGTATTGTTGCCTCGTTTAAAACTTCAAAATACAATAAATTGCACAAAGTATCAATACAGCAAAACAAAAACTTGTAACAGTTATTTGAGACATCACTTGCCACCCGCCGTTACTTTTTCACTGGTCTCGCTTCTGGTCATCTGCCTCATTTAATGACTTAAACAACATTAAACAAAATTATTCTGTGTGTTGCTTTTCAACATGATTTCAGTTTATTTTTCTTGTCCTAATTGGCACACTATGTATTGTCACTCAGTTTTAAGGAAGTGCCTTGTGTTAACAGTAGATGGCGCAATTACTGTATTATATGTAAACAACCAGCTTTTTAATAAAGCCAGCAGATGGCGCCAGAGAGTTAATTTATGCATAAAAATATGCCAAACATGCAAGTGAAATTAAAAATGTCACAGTAATATTTTTATAAGGCAACATTAAGTTTTTTTTTTTTTTATGTGATTGTTTTACTCTCACAACAGCTAAAATCATAGGGCTTGTGGTAAAACACTTCAATATAGCTTTCATTTATAGGCAATTAACAAATATTTTATCATATTTGACAGATAATTAATAGATTGATTTCAAAATATACCAGTCAAGGTTGTGATAGTTCTAATAGTTTGAATGTAGCTACTTTAATTGTCTGCTACTAGACTGAACTGCTCTTTGCAACAGATTTTAAGAAAATGTGTTGCAAAAGGCAATTTACTGTAGTCTGTCACTCTATTACAGTGTAATCTGATATCTTTTCAAGTGAAACAGGATGTTCAGTGAGAAGAAAAATGTATGGTGGGACTTTGTTTTAATGTGAAAAGTGGGCATTGCATACAGTACCAAAACATAGCAACACCAAATGAAAGTTTGCCAAAACAATATCTAAATAACTATTTATCTAGTAATTAACATTGTCCAAAAGTCAAGCCATCTTCATAGAATAAAGTCATTTTAGACAAAACTAGACAAACTTTCTTGGGAACAACAGAACAGATAAGTCATGAACAATACGGTCAGAAACGTGCAAAAGTAAATATGGTCAATTTTGGCAATGTTGGCCTGTTACTAATGATAATATAAGTATTGTAAAAGCATTACATTAAAACGCTGAATGAAAACCTTAATGATTATATTTCTGAAGGCCTCAAATCATTCTTAAACTACTTTCTAGATTCATACATTTTTCTCAGAGGTAACAGATGTTGTTGACAAGTTTCGGTTATCAGATGTGTGTGGCTGGAAGACTTTGTGGATAGATATCTATATCTGTACCTGGTAGTTTGGTTGGGATAAAAACCACTCTTGCTGGTCGATCATAGTAACTAAGAACACATTTTTGTGGTATGTATATGAATGTATGTGTCTCTGAGAGTTTTTAGTGTCTGTTGGGCGTATCCTGAGTTGTGGTATATAAGTAGGTGGCTTTGTTTTTGTGGTTTCCGTCATGGCGGTTGATTTCATCCAGTGGCGGCATTTTTAAATTTTGAAGTCACACTTGCATTGGTAGGCAGAATGAAGACATGCAGATGTCAAAGTAACGCTTAATCAACACTGTTATGTTTATTTTAATGGTTGAGTTCAATTGTACACTCTATCAGTCTTTCTCTTTGTATGAGGGTACATGTGTGTTTATGTGCCTTCAATGTGTTTGAACCCAAACAAGTTTTTTTTTGCAATCTAATCACTTCGCTGTAGACGTTACTCAGTAAATATGATAAACATACGCTAAGGTATTGGCTGGATCACCACACACACCTGAGCCAGGTATAGCGTTAAGGCAAACGACGTCTAGACGGTTTTGTCTGCAGGGCGTCTTCAGTACTTCAGATGTTTCGTAACATTTGGCACAGCAGTACGAGGAATTTCTTGCACGTTTGCAGTTGCCAGTGTGAGCATAAGATATTGCATTAGTCTGGAGATTTATGTCTTTCACAATCCTGCACACAACAGCATAACTGCCAGATCTCCCTGGAGTGAAAACAAGTATTTGTCAAGGTTTGTAAGATGTAAAACAAGATATGACATATATCATTTTGAATGTCATAACACTAGAGAATATAGAGTTGTTTTTTTTTTTTGGTTGGTGGTGTAACCTTGATCGTGTGTAGGCGCCCCCTCCTAAATGACGTTAGTTAGACAAAAGTAACTTGTTTTCTGAGAGCTGTGATGAAGTCACTCTAGTGTTCTTGTGACTGCATTTGTGAGAAAAGTGTTTTTCACTTTTTATGATTATTAACAGTTTAGAATAATATGTACTAGACATTTTTTACGTTATTTTTACGTTTTGTTCTATACATGTACATACAGCTTGGTATCAGCAAGTGAGGTTTTACAGGTACATAAAATGGCAGTGATGCATGCAGTGTGTAAGTAAAAATCGTCTTGCATTTTTAGTTAATTTAGGAGTAATTCAGACCAAATGTCTTTCTTGACCTGTACATCTATGCCATCTACATCTAAGATTGTCTCCATGTGGTGACAGATGTTGATTATTTCTTAAATTAAGCTGCAATGCAATAAGCTGCAAATTAATAAAATGACAATGGATCGCCTTTTTTTGTGATAAATGCAGTTTTTTAATCTATAATATTGCTAGTGACACTAGTGCTAGTGGCCTGCACTGTTTGTCCATAAAAACATACATTTTTTTTTACAGAAATTGATGCAAGAAATTAATAGTTATTCAGTGTGGCTGCATTAAATTGATCAAAAGTGACAGTAAAAAATATATTCATCAAAGAATATGAAAAAAATGCATCATGGTTTCTACAAAAATATTAATTTTATTAATATTATTAATATTAATAGGCACAACTGTTTTTAACATGGGCAATAATAAGAAATCTTGAGCACAAAATCAGCTAATTGAAATGATTTGTGAAGGATCATGTGACATTGAAGGCTGCATCACAGGAGTAAATTACATTTAAAATATACTAAATGGACTTTTTTGTAATATTTCACAATATTACTGATTTACTGTATTTTTGATCAAATAAATGAAGCCAAGTCAAGTCAAGTTTATTTGTACAGCGCTTTTCACGATACAAATCATTGCAAAGCAACTTTACAGCAAATTAATTTTCTACAATATTTAGTGGTAGCTTATCAGTGGTGACTGTCAGTTAATGTACATATGGCAGAAATGTATGGAAAAATCTATTTAAGACGTAATATGCCATCACAGGAGTAAATTACATTTAAAATATACTAAAATAGACTTTTTTTGTAATATTTCACAATATTACTGATTTACTGTATTTTTGATCAAATAAATGCAGCCAAGTCAAGTCAAGTTTATTTGTACAGCGCTTTTCACGATACAAATCATTGCA